CTTACAAGTTATTAGAAGTGTTTTTCAGTAAATAATATAACTTACAAGTTATTAGAATTTTTTTTTTGCAGTAGACAATATACTCTACAATTTATTAGAATTTTTTTCCAGTAGACAGTATACTCTACAAGTTATTATAATGTTTCCCAGTAGACAGTATGCTCTACAAGTTATTAGAATTGTTTTCCAGTAGACAGTATACTCTACAATTTATTATAATGTTTCCCAGTAGACAGTATACTCTACAATTTATTAGAATTGTTTTCCAGTAGACAGTATACTCTACAAGTTATTATAATGTTTCCCAGTAGACAGTATACTTTACAAGTTATTAGAATTGTTTTCCAGTAGACAGTATACTCTATAAGTTATTATAATGTTTTCCAGTAGACGGTATACTATACAATTTATTAGAATTGTTTACCAGTAGACAGTATACTCTACAATTTATTAGAATTGTTTTCCAGTAGACAGTATACTCTACAAGTTATTAGAATTGTTTTCCAGTAAATAATATACTTTACAAGTTATTAGAATTGTTTTCCAGTAGACAGTATACTCTACAATTTATTAGAATTGTTTTCCAGTAGACAGTATACTCTACAATTTATTAGAATTGTTTTCCAGTAGACGGTATACTCTACAAGTTATTAGAATTGTTTTCCAGTAGACAATATACTCTACAAGTTATTAGAATCGTTTTCCAGTAGACAGTATACTCTACAAGTTATTAGAATTGTTTTCCAGTAAACAATGTTTTCCTTAACTCTGCATCACTGTTCTGCCGTTAACTTCTTCATATACTATTATGCATATTCTAAGTATGAAGCATGAGAGGCCCTACCATTTCATGTTTTTGTTTTCATTGTACAAACAATGAAATAGTAGTGAGAGAAATATCAAAAAATAATGTTGATTTACGCATGTGTAGCTACTTGATATAACCTGGTACTTTAAGAAGATAACAGAAGAATGTTAAAGTAATCGATACGACTCCCGGTGGCTCAACGATAAGTCTGCAGGAGTACGACGCTAAAAATAACGTTTCGATGCCAGTTGTGGACAAAGCACAGATAGCCCATTGTGTAGCTCCTTTATTAGATATTTAACTTTACGCCTTCAATTACCGACTTTTTTAATGATTTTCTCCATGAAGGTTGAGGTAATATCAGTAAAGAACATTTATATTTTTTGTCTTTTCACCTGAAAGTTGTTCAATCAAGCTAAGTTTTTGTATGTTTTATTACAACAATTAATATTCTTATATTTCTCGCTTATATGTTGTGTTAAAATAGGTAATGCATGCATTATTCGTTTCTTCCCATCGTAGACCAATTAAAACATATCATTAAATATATGCAGCCGGATATCAGAGATTTAACATGGTAACTTCTCACGGATTTTGTTTTCATGAAAGGAGCTATACGTATTCTGTTACACCCGTTCAGCTTAATCTCAGCTTTTGGATTAACAAGATTACCAGGTATCTTTAAACAAGCGTCGCCGGTGGCTCATCTAAACGCTTGAAAAAATTATAACGGTAGGATTAGAATCTCGATCCCTGCGGTTCACAGATAGCCTCGGGTGTAACATTGATCTTAAAAACATTTTGTTTTAACGTTTCATTAGATATATGCAGCCGGATATCAGAGATTTAACATGGTAATTTCTCACGGATTTTGTTTTCATGAAAGGAGCTATACGTATTCTGTTACACCCGTACAGCTTAATCTCAGCTTTTGGATTAACAGGATTACCAGGTATCTTTAAACCGTCGCTGGTGGCGTTTTTATGAATAAAGCTAAGACGTATCTCAACTTTTAAGCCTGATCGGACGTGGCCTAGTGGTTAGCGTACTAGGCTGAGGGTCCTCGGTTCCTGTCCCATTACCCCAAAAAATAGATGCGCTTCTCACTCTCTGGCCACGAGTGCGTTATAACAGTGACGTCCATTTTTTTTTTTCGATTAAAGTGATCCAAGGTTTGACGGTGGGTGATGTTGAGTATCTGTCTTTTCTCTAGTTTGTCAATTCAGAATTAGGAACGGATAACTCTTGGATAGTTTTGTGTAAATATCCTAAACAAAACTTTTAAGCTATTGGATGTACAAAATTTGTTAAAGTAATGTTGTTGGAACTTCTGGGAGGTAGTTCTTTTAAAGATAATATCTAACGAGTTCACACTTGATACCAGTAAACTTAATGTAATATCTAACGAGTTCACACTTGATACCAGTAAACTTAATGTAATATCTAATAAGTTTATACTTGATACCAGTAAACTTAATGTAATATCTAACGAGTTCACACTTGATACCAGTAAACTTAATGTAATATCTAACGAGTTCACACTTGATACCAGTAAACTTAATTGTGTAGAGTTTGACGAGTTATTAACTTCAATAAATCATGTTCATAAAATTTTAGATTAATTACATAATCATCTGGATGAGATTTTATTCAACTTTGTTATTCATTTCACGTATCGTTTACACGATTTTTCTATTCTATTTTTAAAGCTAATTCTTTAAATTCATAGCAAGAGTATTGGTTATTAATTGTTTATATTTATAACTTCTAAGGGTCTGAATTCTTACTTTGATTGTAGCAGTTGTTGGAATAAAACATCGTGTTCTTAAAGTTTCTTAATCATACAAAAACTGAATTTTTATCAATAAAACTTCATATAACAGAAAAATAAAAATTGAGAAAATACGTGATTAAGTAATAAGGACATTCATTAAACCATATGCTATATAATCTTCTTAGATCGACTATCTTACATTTTAGATTGATTTCAACTTCATTACTTCTTCCCGACCCTTCGCTGTTATATGCTATACATTGGTATTTCCCTCTTGATGTAATCTTGATATGTTGTAAAACCAGACTTTGGTTACTGATGATGATCCCTTCGTTATGCTTGTTCCGGATGGGGTTCCCTTCGTGTAGCCAGACAATGTCGTCAACCCAAGGGTTGGCTTGAACATGACACTCGAAGTACACGTCTTTCCCTTCCACAATGGTATCCGCTTGAAGGTTGGAACCCAGTTTTAAAGTAACCTCTGGAACATCTCCGGATAAAATAAGAAAAAAAATTACATTACACTTGGAATATCTTCCTGAAATTTTAATTTAGATGTAAGCTAATGAGTGTAGTGAATTTTATACGTCTGTGTTTGTGTAAATATACAAGTTAATACAACATATCAAGGTCAGTAGAAAGGGTAAAATCTATTATTCGCAACCGGTTGTGTTCTTTTCTTATGGTAATTTAAAGTGATGAAGGCAAGCACTGTTAGCTAATAGGACGTATATCCAACAAACAGTTCCTTTATCTTATATATCAAACAAATCCTTTAATACATACTCACTAACCAATTCCTTTAACTTGTATATATTCAACAAACATTCCACTAAAAACGATAACATCTTTGTTTCTTGCATATTTTAGCGTTGTTACGGAAATTATGTTTTTTAAACATATCCTGCCTACGTGTTTGTTCAGATACCATATAATGAGTGTTTTGAACTCTTCAGTATGTATTTAGAATATCTATGCACGAAGACGTAAGCTCAGTTTTCTTTTCGTACTAGCAAAAAAGGAAATAATATATTAAAATAAACATATACGTGGAAAATGTGTCGGATAACGAATAATATAGAACTTAATATCTGTAAAATAAGCTTCATTATCATCTATACGAATGTTCGAGAGTTTAGTGAGGAAATCTAATGAAAAGAAAGAAAAAACGTTGAAACCTAGAGAAAAGTCAAAAACCGATTATTTAAAATATGGTCAATGTGAAGGGCATTATATTCTGATTAAGAAGTTAGCACACAGGATTATATACTAAAGTTGTAGTGGTTTTCAAACGAGACCCAAAACTTCAGTAGAATAGCGAACTATTCAGAAGCACCAAGGGCATTATACTCTGATTAAGAAGTTACCACACAGGATTATATACTAAAGTTGTAGTGGTTTTCAAACGAGACCCAAAACTTCAGAAGAATAGCGAACTATTCAGAAGCACCAAGGGCATTATATGTTATGAAATGCAGTTTCAGTAAAATCGCAGAAATAATACAAGGTTTTATAGAATACAGACGTTGTCTAAACATTTTCCATTGTTTTGTTGCTCAAATCGTGTTAAAATGAGGGTTTATAGACCTAAATATAGAAGCATCAAAAGGCAGCCATAATGCAGTATATTTCTTCCCCGATCCATGTACGTATATAGGTTTTTAATGACGCTAGTGTTGTTTTGCATTAAAGCTAATTAGGATGGGATTCTAAGAGCTGTTTATCTAACACGTACACTTTCCACGAAGTTAGGCTTAAAGGATCGAGGCAAAGGGAGGAGCCCGAAGTTAATTATCAATCTATCACTTTAGTAAATTATTATTATTAGAGTGAACGTATACTCTAACCCACCTTCGCTTATTACAGTTACAACCATCCCTGCTTCATACTGTATCAATGAAGAATATCGATAAATGTATTCGTATTTCTACGAATTGTTTTTTTTTATTTTTTTCTCTGCTTACATGCGTTTCACGTGAATTACACAAATCATCTCCAAACGCGAGATGAATTTAGAAGCAGTTCCAGCAATACGTGAAGTTAACTAGTGCTGAACAAGTGCTTTCTGTACAATAATTTCATTGTATAGAAAACTATAAGCTTTAGCATTTAGTGTATAACATCGAGAGAATCGTGCCTATTGATTGAAGTGTCGTTTTTCTTCTTGTGAAGGAAGTTCCACAGTAAAAATAACATCAAGTACAGTTAATGGAATATTGGTTTGGTTTAATCGACATTAATAAATATAACGAAGCAAGCAAAGTACATTACTTCATAGTTCTGGAAGGTTTCCAAACATCCTTAATTAGTTAACGTATTCTTTTATATAGACGTGTAGAATGTTTGTTGCAGTTTTCGAGAAGCACGCAACGTAACTACACAGTCTCGAGAGAAAAGTACATGAAATAAAAACTTGAAACATCCGAAGTTATTTTACTTCTATGATGAATGTTTCTTCGTCTTGTCCTGATTAGTAGCTTTAGTATCTATTGGAAAATCCTTCTATAACGTTCATAGACGCTATATGAACAACGTTTCGTTTTAAAATTAGAGTATGCCTCTTTATATGGAGCCAAGTAGCTCAGCGGCAGGTCTGAGGGCTTACAACGCGATAGGCAGAACATAAATAACCCATTGTGTAGCTTTATACAAACACTAAGGGAACCATTTGGCATGCTCTATTCTAAGTAAACGTTTCAGCTAATACGGACCATTCGGCATGCGCTGTTCTAAGTAAAGGTTTCTGTTGTGATTAAATATTTTTTTTTCTGTTTTGCTGAATTCAAATCGTCTAGCATGCCCTGTTCTAAGTAAAAGTTTCAGCTAATACGAACCATTCGGCATGCGCTGTTATAAGTAAAGGTTTCTGTTGTGATTAAATATTTTTTTTTCTGTTTTGCTGAATTCAAATCGTCTAGCAGTAGCACTTTTCTAAAACGCTCATGAAATCGTTCAAACCAATAACGATTTTCTCTAAGAAGTCATTAACAGAGAAAGCAATAATAATTATAAACTAAACCAAATGTAATTATTGTAAATATCGTGATTTATGGATGACATAGACAACATTTATATACTGTAGACGATGTTTTAACTCCTACATTTACTTGTTATCCAACGATTTAAATTGTATCCGACATTAAAGTATATAGTTTGAAGAATTTGTCTATCGCTCTTTGCCATTTTCTAAAGATTTTCCAGTAATATGAAGCGATACTAGTGTAAGTCCAAATTTTTCTATCTGTATACTTAATTTTGATCCACAAATATAGAAATATATGTGACAAAAAATAAACAAGAAACGCTGTAACGTCCAATTTATTTTTTCAAAGTAGAAGCATTTACAAGTTTGCTGTAAGTCATACACTGGTGTAATATTGAGGTTATAGATTTAAACTTCAAAACTTTTAAAATTAACTCAATAAAGACGTAGTGTATCAATCCGTAAACAACTTACAGCGAACGTTCAGTATCCATCCCTGTTCCATCCTTGTATTATGAAGTAAAGGGTTTTCCGTCAAGCAAGATAAGTAGCGGCCATTGTCTCCCATCTCGGGTGTGAATGTCAACTTACTGATGGTATAGTTTCCCTCTCGAGCAATGATAGCAGATGATGTCAGTTTTTTTCGGTCTTTCCACCAATAAATGTTTGCCGCTGGTCGTGATCCAACAGAACGGCATAATATTTGTGTACTTTTTCCTGCCGCTAGAGGACGTTTGGGTGATAATATTTCCACGGCAATTGGTCTTACTGATAAAACATATACCAACTTGAAAAATAGTGTAACTGACGTCAAATAGACTACTTCTATTCAAAGGAGTTTCATTTTGATGTGAATAGTTAGTAAGCAAACTATACAGAAAATCGATAAACTTTAGAATAGAAAAAAATGTCCTTAATCAACCTACCAGAGTCTGCTTTGATTCTTATTAATAAGACCCTTCCTCTACTGTAAATTGTCATGTTATTCATAAGTAAATGTGAGGTACGATGGAAATATCTGGTATTTTCTAGTTCTATAATGAATACAGTATTTCGATTGTTTTCGATATTTTTCTTGATGTAAGTTCAACAATTGTGAATCACGTGTTATACAATACCTACGAGTAAACCGTAATTTATTTCATTCCACCGCTAGATGGCTTGGAGTAATAAATACTTGTTTTTAGTGCAATTTCTTCTATGCTACATTACCATACACTTGTGTGTGATCCGTTTAATTGGGGAAAAGGTTATAATTTCTGATTACAATACATTGGATAGAACTGATACATTCCTACCAATATACTCAAGCAAAGTTATACACTATTTTAAAATAAAGGACGGATTTACATTTGATCTGCTCTGCATATTCTGTCTCATTTTTCTTCGTCAAAAATCGTTTTTGGAAAATGTATGCTTGAAATAATGCCGTTTAAATGCTTTCTGAAAACAGATAGCTCTGGCAAACCACTTGTAGCTTACAATTTGCCACAATGCTTTTTAATGTGTCATCATCTTTATGGAAGATTGGTCTAATTATCTGTGCTTCCTTCTTTAGTTTCTTTGTTTGTTAAAATTTAGCGTAAAGCTATACGAGGGTTAGCTACGCTAGGCATCACCAACGTTGGAGTGATAGATTAGAGGGAAGACAGCTGGTCAAAACCACCACCGCCAACTCTGGGGCTTTTCTAATAGAATGGTAGGATTTGACTGTCACTCTTATAATGCACCTATGGTGCCAAAGTGTAGAATGTTTTTTATTTTCGAGGGGAGGAGTAAAGGGACTTGAACCACAAATCTACAGTATGGCGTGATAACTAGTGGCTCGATCTAAAGTGACTTCACGCTTCTTGATGAAATACCTACTTGGATTCCCCAGAAAGCGCCATTGACAGAAAGGAATGCGCTTCGAAGAACATATTTTGTTTCATTTATCGCTGCGAATGGGTAATCGAGGGGATGAGAGGGGAGAGAGGTTTAATCCTCTTGAAAAACACTTTGTCTCGTTGTTTGTTTCGATATTGGAAAATTTTAACTTCGTTCGTGTTTTCTTAAAAACAAAACTGAAGTTGGATTACGGTGAGAAAGTCTGTTGACTCGTTTTATAAGAATGTTGGATTACGGTGAGAAAGTCTGTTGACTCGTTTTATAAGAATGTTGGATTACGGTGAGAAAGTCTGTTGACTCGTTTTATAAGAATGTTGGATTACGGGGAGAAAGTCTGTTGATTCGTTTTATAAGAATGTTGGATTACGGTGAGAAAGTCTGTTGACTCGTTTTATAAGAATGTTGGATTACGGGGAGAAAGTCTGTTGACTCGTTTTATAAGAATGTTGGATTACGGGGAGAAAGTCTGTTGACTCGTTTTATAAGAATGTCACCAGGTAAAAGTGGAATACTTTATTATTACCGTATTATATTTTCGTAGAACATAGTTGAACCTAGTTCACAAATAACTATGACTTATCCAGAACTGTAAAATTGCTTTGTATTATTAATAATTATATACACCTGGAAAAAAGTTAAGCACCCACAAATATTTTTCAGGATTGCTTATTGAAAATAAGGTTTAATT